GATTACAGCCTCGTCGCCATCTGTGAGCAGATTATCTAGAAAATGTGGGAGCCTCGACGTCTCACAAATCTATGAGCCTCCACGGCCTGTTACAGGGATAGCTTTATTTTCTTTACCATTTTTAGTTAAGTAATATGAAATCATTGAAGTTCTCATGGTAGTGAACAGCCAGAAACTTATCTAAACCTGCAACAATTTGGGCTTGTACTTACGAAGTGACCGGCTCGAAACCCGACCGGGATATTTGGCGCCGTGTAGTCAATGAGAGCTTCGTTATAAAAAAATACAACAAAATTAAAGACTCAAATCTGTATGAAGATATTCGTAATTGTCTTCTGGTGTGTAACGCAGTAAAGTCTGATAGAAAGGTACGTTTCCGACAAAATTGCTGCCTCCATCTTCAGGGTATAAGAGAAATTTTTCTGAATACGGAGGCAACAGGTTTCTCTGGAGTGTTGGTATATTTCAACCAGACTTCACAGTATCAATGGTATTAAAATAGCATGCCTCAAGCAAATATATGCACGTGTTCAATCAAATTTTGTTGTGTATCATATTGCTGTTTTCAGTGATCGTATTTTTCCTTTATCCTAGAAGCATTAAGACAAGAAAAATTATTAGTATATTAAACTCGAAGTTAACACAGTTCTGGTTTCATATTTTCACGTGTATGTGTGACCACAGACGGTTTAGTGAACTTATTAACAACTTACAGATCCTATATTATATTTAAGCATCCTGTTGCACTCTATACGATAAATGATATGAACTCCGTTCCAAGTGTAAACAATATATGTCCTTGATCTTGCTCTCCTTTACACTACATGTTTCGGCCTCAAACGGCCATCATCAGGTGTATACTCTCACATTGCTGTTACACTGCACTTAGCTTAAAATTTAACATTTTAAAAACACATTGTTCCTTTCCTTGTTATTATNTTCATATCATTTATCTTACAGATCCTAATTACAAATAAATATAACATTATCACTGATTTGCACACTTTACAAATCACTAGGCGCTAAGTCTTCTCCAACCTGCAATAGTCGTTTCCTCGTTACGGACGTTAACACTGTTCTCCGCTTACGTCCTCACCGTCTGGCATACATCACTTAACTCAAGTGTCCCCTGAAGTTAAAGTCAAAGTCAAAACCATAGTTATTTTACGACTGGAAGTTTAACGCCAATCAGTTCTTCCTGGCGTCAAGTCCTGTGACACCCATGACAAGAGAAGTTTTTCAAGTTTATTCTTGCAGTCCTAGTCCTTTGGTAACATCCTCTTTCACGAGAAGATGGGCTTGTCTATTATGAATACGCTTGACCTTCCATTGAGTGTACGTATCACACATATAGCATGTTATTGTGAAATTCTTCCTTGTGCAGTATATACAAGTCATCTGTCAGTACAGGCTTTGCAGAGCAGATCATGCCTATCTTACGTATCTTATGTTACAATGATCGCTTAGTCACTTAAAAGGTCGTAAGCTTCACCACCGCCAAGTATAAATCTCTTACATCTTCTATTACCCGAACACTCTTTAAAGTCAATTATAACATCTTAGAAGGGACCACATAGAGAACACAATTTTTCTATTGTTGCTTCCGTGTTTATTGCGTGCTTTACCTAATAATGACTGCTCTTTACCGAGTCACCGCTTAGGAACGGGAACGTGTTTACCGAACCGTTGCCTAGAAATGGGTCCATGTGCCACAAAATACGAGTGGTACAATACACGTATACATATTTGAATTCTAGCCCAAAACTTATTCCTCCCACGAGCAGAACGCTCTTTCCTAAGCTGTATATATATTTTGCGTTTCTCTGTGGGAATGCAGGATGTAACACGAATTCTTAGCACAAGTTCAGAATTTATTGAAGAGAGTAGTCTTCTGAAGAAAAAAGTATTTCATTTTGTTAGATATCGACGTTTCGGAGAATCATCCTGCTTCCATCTGAATATTCTACCCTGGAGCCGAATTTTCATTACACTTTTAATAACAGCAAAATATATTATTAAATAATTATTATATAAATACAAATATGCACCTATCTCTGTTGCTCCCACTTGGAGCATAGTGCATCTGTGTCACGCTTCGTGTCACTATAGTTTCTTAATCTTAGACAGCCGGTAGGACTCCTTGGACTGGGATCAACCAGACGGAAGGCCGATACCTAAGCAGACAGAGAATAAACGCAAACAGATATCCATGCCTTGAGTGGGATTCGAACCCACGGTCCCAACGTTCAAGCCTTAGACTAAGCGCCCACTGTGATCGGCGAATAAAACACAGAGTACTGGTAATTGCAAACCTGCTACAATAGGTCCACTGATCATTTTCACATATAAACAACATAATTTTTAGAAACTAACTTGAAAGCCTATAAGTAGGTAAGAACTAACATGAAAAATAAACGTTTTTCATTATTTATAATTTTGTTGCTTTAAAATATTTTTTTTTATTTGGTTATGTTAAGGAAAGATTTTCTTTTTGTTTGTCACAGAGGACACGTCGTGTTATCAGTAGGCATCATGTTAGAATTTAGGACCTAAGACATTTTCTCCTTGGTAATGGACATAGGCATTCTGTGTAGGCATGTTTAAATTATAACTTGCTCCAGGAGTACTTCCCATCCATTACTGCTGAAGGCACACCTTACCTGCTTACTCTTTGTGGCTACGGACTTCGAAGAATCTTAGCTCCTTTTAACATATAACAGTTCTTCCCTACCATTTTTCACTTGTCTCCATCTCTTCATATTCAGGCCTCGCAAATCATTCTCTTCATCTTTCATCTAGCCCATTATTAGTCATTTCATCCTCCTTAGACCTTTCGTCTTACTATCAAAGATACCGAAATGTTTGTTTCCCTAAAACATTGACATGAGAGACTGTATTTTTATATCGTGACATATTTGCTGAAGGCAAGAACTGTTAAGCCAGCAGAAACATCCGTTTCTAGGGATCAACTCTGAAAATACTCCTGTAGATAGGCAAAAGATTCGTATCACTCAGCAATCAAGTAACCAGGAAGCCGTGTTCTCTATGCGATCCGTGCAATAGTTACGTGATGCAACAACAAAGGAACTGTTGGGAGATGTTTTTCTGTGTGGTCCGTGCCGAGGCTATATAACAAGAAGCAGCTGCGATTACGATGGAGTTTTGAGACGCCACTTGGAAGAGTAGGAGTTAGTTGTGAGGCAGTCGTCGGCCAGTAAGAACGTGAACACGGAAAGAGAGGAATCTATGGAGTTGGAAGCCGTTACCAGGCGACAAATGAAGATAGAGCAGTCTGAGAAGCCTTCGTTCGGGCTGTTATGAATTGTAGATTGTATGGGTTGGCAATAGCACTATATTTCCTTGTAGATACGAATTTTATGTGTAAATGGTTAATAAATCGCATTACCAATCCAAACCCCGTCTGTAGTCACACTCAGACACCTGAATTTATTATTATTATCAAGGATCGTTCTTCGAAAAAGAACATTTCCTGATACTCGGAATTATACTAATTTTATTGTTTTCCATTTTGAGCGATCATTTCAATCATAGAAATTGATTTCGTTCATCATTTTAAATATGCGCCAGCACTTTTCTCGTATTAAGAAAATAACGTGAATTGAGGGCGTTTGAAAATGGGGTACCCGGAACAATATTTCGATCCATGAGAAATAAAATAAGAGGAGGTTAGAGAAAATTTAATAACAACATTCCTAACTAAATATAGTAGACTGGTTAAGTCAATTCAGTTAAATTCAATTATTTATTACGTATTTATGTGCCAAGCGAACAGACACAGCACAGTGTAGATAAAAGTAATTACATTATGGACAAAAAAACATCAAAGTCAGAGACTAATTAAAGGTAAGCATTGGAGGTAAAACACATTAATATAGACAAGGAAACAAACAAAGAAATAATAATAATAATAATACCATTAACACAAATCTAAGTTGTTAGTGACAATTGAGAAATGTAAAATATAGATATTAAAAATAAATAATGATAATTCAAATCTAGGTTATGTTCATGCAAATAATAGCAAACAACAAAGCTATTATGGGCAGGGCATATGATATGTATGGGGGAGAAGAGGGGTGTATAAGGAGCTCTGCAAAGAAAACCTGAAGGAAAGAAGACACAAGGAAGACCTAGATGTGGGCTGGAGGATAATATTAAAATAGAGCTTAGAGAAATAGCATGGGGTAATATGGACTGGATTTATGTGCCTCAGGATAGGGACCACTATAGGGCTCTTGTGTACACGGTAATGAACATCCGATTCAATGAAATGATGGGGCTTTGTTGAGTGGCAGAGAGACTGGCAGTTTCTCAAGAAGGACGTGACCCCACGGAGTGATTTGGTTCTGAGAGTTTTTAGCAAAAGTGAGGAAGTTCATATTTATCTTAAGTTATTCCTATGCTAAATTATGTAGTGAAGACACAAGTGGGAGTGGAGGTGTAGCTCTACCATTCTTGACCTCGGCACTAGCTGGAAATGAGTGGTCAGCTTCACGCCCCTGCCGCTCTAATCAAGGGAAAGTGACCCTCCTGCCCATTGCGTAGGAGGCTGGGTGGCCCCAGAGCCGGTCTGGACTTTATGGAGTCGAACTGGTCGTCCAGTCCGTTACTATACCAACTAAGCTATCCTACCTCTCTGGTCATTCTTAACTGAAAATAAGGCGACTTATCTTTTCTAAGAAGCATCATTTGAAAAGAAACTCGCCTTGAGTCGGAATAATATGACTCTATACTATGTAATGTGCAGCCAAGGTAAGATTTATTATTCAGATGGACTGTTCTGTATTTGTGAAAAAATCTAGAAAAATAGCTCAAGGAATTTTAACAAGTTCAGATTCTAGGTCCAAGGTTTTTTTTTTCGGATATGACTTTGTATACCGGGACTAAAAGTCTTTGAATGCTGAGGGCTTTTACACTGTTTCGACAAACTTCAAAGTTATAATCTTCAAGGAAATTCTTTTAAATCTCTTATATTACAGACTGTGTTGGAGGCGAAGCTGTGATTGGTTAAAAAAATGGAGCGAGATGCTAACCAGTAGGGAGTGATCACGTGATGAAGAAGAACGTTCTAGAGACAGGTCATTTCTCTGGAAGGGTGAGGAACACGTGACAGCGTCACCATATACAGGACAACAGCTGACGGAGTAAGTTGAAAGACCTATCAACTCAATGGTCTTAACTTTTCACTTGTGACGGATAGCCATAAACGTTTATTTGTTGAGCTTTAATGATCTACCTCTGTTAATATCATATCACGATTTTAATGAGACTCTTGTTTGCTATAATGAACTTACTGAGAGTCAGGATAGCTCAGTCGGTATAGCGACGCGCTGGACAACCGAAGTTTTATTCCCGGCAGGGGTAAAAATATTTTCTCTTTCCCGGTCCTGCGATCCACCCAGCCTCATATTCAGTGAGTACCGCTGGCTTTTTCTCTGGAGAAAGGCGGCCGTATCGTGGAGCTGACCACTAACCTCCGTCTAATGCCGAGGCCAAAAATGACAGAGCTATATCTCCACTTCCCATAGATTTTCATGATATGGTAGTTAATTATTTGAACAGTCGGACAACTCCACCGTTCATTTCGATGAAATTATTTCTATTTGTACCAGAAAAAAAAATAACTTTTCCTTTCTTTTTTCTCATGCCAGAAATTATATTTCACGTCAGCGTCGAAAATGTTGGCGTTCTAAATTGATTGAACTGTAATTATATTTAACCCTCACTCGCAAACAGGGCATCAAACAATTCTTGCTTGTCAAGCATTAACTCCTTGAATAAATTTCTAATGTCCTTCATAGCTTGTTGCTAGTCCTAAGATGCAGTTTCAATACTCTTCATCCTGGCTGCTTTAACGACATTCCTTTCTTTTCCACTTTTTGGAGTTTTATTTCATGTTTTGATCTTAGTCTGTACATAAAACCACGTACGTGTTTCTGTATGGGCACCGTATGCCTCTCCTATGGAAATGTAGGATTTCTCTCGGCGTCAAAAGTTTTTGGACTTAAACAATTTGTTATTGGCTTTTCGAATAAAATCGTTCTTTTATTCTTTATCTGAAACTTGTTTGAAAATATGTCATTGTCACATAACGATAAAGATTGTTACATTATTTTTATAAACTTATAATGATATATTTCCATCTTTCAGTAGGAACCACAGTCACAGCATGAAATAACATATGTAGTTCAGTACAGAGGATTTTACTTGCGTGAAGTCTGCATCCAGCTGATCACGCTGGTTCCTCGCTCGCGGAATTTTATAACCTGAAGATGGAGGCGATAAAACAAGGGTTAATTTTGTCTCGTTCAAGATTATGCATCATTTATTTTTTGGCATGGGTGAACATGGAGCAAAAGTATCTGTTATGCGGCCAACGTTGCCAGCGCTCACCGTTAATCACTCAGTGTTTCCTTCTTACTTTGAAGAAGACTCAGGAAACGACCCAGCCTCTAACAGAAATAAGTTCCAGGAATCTTCCTAGGGGTACAGGGTCGCCGGCGCGTAAGGCTGACAACCTCACCGTCATCTGTGAGGCTGTTGTCTAGAAAATGTGGGAGCTTCGACGTCTCAGAACCCTATGGGCCTCCACGGCCTGTTACAGGGATAGCTTTACCGGTAAAAATTATCAAATAAATAATTAAACAAGTACCCAACTTTGTATGATTTGAGGTCCTCATGCCGGTGGTCATGAAGAGTAGTAATTTTTGGCAGATGACGTCCTACTGCCCGTTGAAAGTCAACTAATGTTTCGGAGGAACATATTGTTTCTGTCTTCAGGGTCGAATAAGCCGAGCAAGGTACCAGCGTGAAAGCAGGTGGCAGGCGACTATCAATGTCCACATTATAGAATCTTTGGGAGGAATCTGAGAGTTGTCTCACCAGGTCATTTCATTTTTCATCAGTAATCTGTCAGACGACAGGTCCATAGTCTCTTCCAAAACAGTTCCTCCACTTAATGCGATCTAGGGCTTTCTCCTTCAAATGAGAATATCCTCTTCTGTCCCCAAGGTCATCCAGCATCTTCTTACGTCTTTTCCTCGTCTTATGGTCGTATAGATGGTATCTCTGTTTTTGGAAAGAGACTATCCAGGAAATATATTAAAGACTGTTTTTGTAGTAGAGCTTTAGTTTATCGCTGCAAGAGACGTAGAATGTTTCTATTTGAACTCTTATTTTTAAAATATTTTCATCTTCAGTTCATGGTATTGTATTTGGACACACCGATTATTCTGATTGTGAGGGTTTGTGGTTATGGTCTGTCTTTCGACGAAAGAATCTGGAAACAGGCCACGGTATGTTCGGCATGTGTAAGCAGTCGCGGAAGCATAATTGAGGCACGTATAGAAGCCAGTTTCTTTTTCAAATTTTAAAATTATAACTCTTGAATTCAAAACTTTTCTCACCCCCGTCATTTACATGGGCGTCTTTGTCTTTTCCTCCTCTGCGTTTGGAGTCTGAGAGTAATTTAAGAAACCTTCTTTACTCTATTCTTCATAGGTGCTATTAGCCCCGTTATTAGATACTCTTTAATTTCTGTAATTATGTCGATGAATTTATTTCCACGATTATACCTAAACTCCTCCTCGAGGAATAACAAATTTTCGTAAAGTGGAGATTGCGCTCCCCAATCATCCGGACAGCTATGTTGGTGGGAGCGTAAGCTCCTGGTAGAGCCACATGCCAGACTAGTCATAGTCTAGGGGTCACATGAAATGAGGTCTCTGACCCTCTAAGTTGGGGTTTGTGCGTGGGGCTAACGACTCCACCCCGGAAATAATTATTGTTACGAGACCATGGAGGAGACGAAGACCCACACGAGTAGCGCCAGTAAGGATGATGAATCATCTTTATTGCGTCTGTTACCTACCAATCGGTTTCGTATCACAGCTGTCGGGAAGCCAAATTCCGGCGTCTCCGATTTGCCTTCCGTCATTACATCAGCGTCCAGCACTCAGACCAACAGAGAAGAGTTCAGGGTGCCATGTTCTTATGGAAGCTGAGTACTTCCTCCTTCATGAACCAAGCGGCTAAGGTGTTAATAATTGCACCGCAAATTTATTTAAATCTTTCTCTTTTTCCATTGACATCTATTTGTTCAGCAGAAACGTATTAAAATATTGTCACACATATGAATGACTGTAGAATTGGGTTTATTGAACATTTTTGGATCGTAACGACAAGTAACTATACCGCTTTCGTTATTTCACATCATCATCATCATCATCAGTAATCTGTCAGACGACAGGTCCACAGTCTCTTCCAAAACAGTTCCTCCACTTAATTAGATCTAGAGCTTTCTCCTTCAAATTACAGTATCCTCTTCTGTCCCCAAGGTCATCCAGCATCTTCTTACGTCTTCTTCCTCGTCTTCTTGTCACTTCTATCCGCCCCTCTATCTTTCCTTCAATAACTTCTTTCAGAAGGCAGTTTCTGCGTAAAACATGACCAATCCAATTAGCCTTCCGTTTTCTTATTTCGTGTAGGATATTCCTCTGCTCACTGACTCTAATTAACACATCTTCATTTCTCACATAATCGGTCCAACTGATCTTCTCCATCCTTCTCCAACATCACATTTCGAAACTTTCCAGATGTTTCTGATCTACTGCCCTAAGTGTCCATGTTACAGCCCCATACACACTCTACATTTCACCACAGTCTGCTGTGTCTTCACTAGACGTTGTCTGATAAAGGCTTCCGAAGCCGTAGATCCCTCAACTTCAATGCTCGCTTTCTTACTGGTAGGCGATTGTCTTCAAACTAACTAAACTGATTCTGAGTCTCATTTTACGACCGACGGTCAGCCGGCCAACCTGTCTTGGCATGGAACACCCATCAGGGGCTTGCGACCAGATATTCATTACTGTCTCACAGTTACGGTTTTTTTGTTTTTGTTTTTTTTTTGTGGGCGCCCTCTCTGATGAGAGGACGGGTCTGTCTTTTGTATATGCTTCTGGTCCTTGCCAGCGCAGTCTTTCTCAAGTCCGAGTCCCTTGGTACTCGAGACCATATTTTACTGTCTCAAATTTGAGACTTCCCTTTTCGTCGCCTGCTACAACTCGCAGGGTCACGGTGGAGGTATTCGAACCCGCCTCCACACGGGAGAACTACCCATACTCTAGACTTATTCTGCTTATAACACCTCGTTACGGACCGCATAGAAAACACCGCTTGTTGCCCCACGCAGTTGTCGGGAGAACACCTTTTTCCAGTTAGACCATTGAGGCGTTTTAAGAATATGTTGCTTAGCAACAGTCATTACTTACAGAGTTATTACTTAGCAACGGGTCTACGTGCTATAATATAGAAATAACTATTTGTCAATTGATCAAAATGTCGTTCACTAACTGTAATTTTAATTGCCGGCTCGGCTTGCATTTGTATAAAGTTAGGACCTCAAATGGATTGGTGTTTGCATTGCTATTATAGGAATATAAATTGAAAGTGTGAAACTTTTGTTTGTTCTTACTCCCATATTATGCATCGCAGGCGCAAGATGGGAAGTTTATGGAAAAAAAAAAGTGAAACAAATGAAGATTTACAGGGCGACAAGGAAACAGATCAGGCTACAGGCATTTCACATACCACATCACAGGCAAATATGGGGGCAGCTGTATCCAGTTTGGATTGATGTCAGAACTCAGACCCATTCAGAAAAGGTTCTCATGAACCTCACGCAATTTGAGTAATGTCTCCTTCATAATTTCACTGGTTAGTTCCTATTAACCGGTCACAGTAGCCGAGCAGTCTAAGGCATGCACTATCTTCGCTCGCTCGGACGCCAGGATAGTGGGTTCGAATCCAACTCAGAGCATGGATATTCAGTGTGTGTGCGCTTTTTTCTGTGTTTGTGTACAGGTAGAGGCCTTGCGACGAGCTGATTACCGCCCAAAGAGTCCTACCGAATGTCTTAAGGTCTAGTAAACTGAAGTGAAACCGAGAGTTTCATGGACGTAGTCCAAAGTCGAAATTGGGGTTCTAGCTCCAAAAGAAAAAAAAAAGTTTCTATTAATTATTCCATTTCATCAGTCATTAACCCTTTGGCCTTTCGACTGTATATAGCCCGCGCTGCCGAAAACGCCGCTAAACAAACCATACGTATTGTAACATGACGTCCGAAATCCGGGATA